AACCCTATACAATGGAAGAATCGGTTAGGAATTGGTGCAGATTATAAATATAGATGTAAAACCCTTGTATGGGTGAAAATTAATCAAATAACATGAATTAGAATATACATGTGAAAAAATAACAAATATATTTCTTAAATTCTTATAACTTGTTAAAATTCTGAATATCTCACAAATAGCTTATTAATAAATATGTAACTAGTTGTAAGTGGCATTTTGCCATTAATCAATCAGAAATCAATAAATTAATTTATTAGTGATTTGAAAGTATACTTCGTTTTTGTAGGGTATATACATTTCGAAAACGAAATAAGATTTGGAAAACAAAAATAAATTGACGAAACGAAAATATATATTATATATATATATATATATAATATAATATATATATATATATATATATATAAATAGGTTGTCAAATATCTCCCTTCCGCCTTTTGTATTATAAACCAAGAGCAAAAAGCGGAAGGGAGATATTTGACAACCTAATATATATATATAGATATATATATTATACATATATATATTATATATATATATATATATATATATATATATATATATGGTTAATGTTCTGGGTCAAAATTCGTTAATAAACTTGCTTGTTATATTCAATAGCGTTCGGTTATGTGAAATTAGCATTAGAAGAGTGTTTAAGTTTTTTTATTGGTTATATCAAATTTAAATTGTGAAATAATTTATAATTCTTGAATAAAGTTTTTATACTCTTATTTTATGTGGATGATATTTTAAGTTATGTTCTGCTCTTAATTTATTTTGATTATTTTTATATTATATTTTTTTCGATTTAATTTCTACCTTTCGATTTAATTTTGATGATATTATCTTGATTTAAGTTGTTCCACTTTTAATTTATATTGATGAACATTTTCTTATTTTTCTCTACCTCTTAATTTTTTCGATGATTTTTCTCTCAATTTAATTTCAATCTTTTCAGTTTTATTTCACGAGACTGAAAAAAATCGTACGTTCGTCACCCGTATCATAGAACGTTCTAATAAAACAGATACCTAGTGATATAAAGAACAAGAATTCTTTCTCGACTTTTATACATGAGACTTTTTTTCAAGTATTTTTTGAAGTTGTATATATATATATTCCAAGGGTGTTCGTTTTTCACTTTTTATTGCATCGCAATAGTGTAACAGCAAAAGAGATTCGTTGAGGAAGATCGTATTACCAAGTCGCTGCTCCGATTACGGAATAAGACCGACTGGCCT